CCACAAACTCTCTGATACCCCACAAGCCCTCTGATACCCCACAATCCCTCTGATACCCCACAAACCCTCTGATATGCCACAGACCCTCGGTTACCTTCTGATACCCCATAGACTTTCTGATACCCCACAAACCCTCTGATATCCCACAAACCCTTGGTTACCCTCTGAAACCCCACAAACTTTCTGATACGCCACAGACCTTCTGATACCCCACAGACCCTCTGATACCCCACATACACTCTTATACGCCACAGACCCTCCGATACCCCACAAACCTTCTGATACCCCACATACCCTCTTATACGCCACAGACCCTCCGATACCCCACAATCCCTCTGATACCCTCTGATACCCCACAAACCCCCTGATATGCCACAGACCCTCTGATACCCCACAAAACCTCTGATACCCTACAAACCCTCTGATACGCCACAGACCCTCTGATAACCTACAGACCCACTGATACCCTCTGATACCTCTAATAGCATAATTTTACCTCAGTTATTTCCCATTTTTGTCATGTTGCCTCCTTTTTGCCTCCCTCTCTGCCTCCTTTTGCCTCATTTTAACCATGTTAAAATCAGCTGGAGGTTCCCAGAGGTCGGACCCTTCGGCCTTCTCAGAACGTGGAACTGACGTGAGCCCTCCAAGGAAAACGCTCCCTGACCTGAGCTTCAGCTCGGGAAGAATTCAGAGCTGAATGAGGCCTGACTCCTGTTGGATCCTGGTCCGGTTGGTGGGCTGGAGTTGGGCCTGGCTGTGTGAGCTTCATCAGTTCGGCTCTGAACCGGCAGCGAGGCCTCGTTCCCCTGATGGACTCACTAATCAACAGCTGTCCTCATTAGCTAATCGGCTCCACTTTGCCTAATCGGCGGGTTAATTGCCCTCATCGCCCCGCGAACGCAGAGCGCCGCCCGACAGAGATCCGGTCCAGGAGCTCAGTCCACAGCACGGCCCGGTGGCCTTCTGCTCATTGTTTGGTCCAATGGCCCGAAAATCTGATTTAAAGATCAATAAAATGGGGACCAGAAGGACTCAGAGCAGCTTAAAGTGCTTTAACGTTTGATTTGGGACGAGCTGAAAGTGCCCAAATCATCTGAAATCAGATCAGTTCATCAGAAATTATTTTAAATGATCTAAAATCATATCAGATCATCATAAATCATTGAAAATCATCTCAGATCATCCCAAATAATTTTGAATCATCTAAATTAATCCAATATTGATTGAAATCATCTGAAATCATATCAGATAATCAGAAATCATTTAAAATCATATGAGATCATCCCAAATTATTTTGAATCAACTAAATTAATCCAAAATTATTTCTAGTAATCTAAATCATATCAGATCATCCTAAATTGTTTCAAATAATCTCAGATTGTTTCAAATCATCTCAGATCATCCCAAACCATCTCGGATCATCTCATATTTTGCAACAGTCGGATGAGATGAGGTGGATTTGGAGCTGATGCTTCATCCTTCTGCTCCAGGAGGCTTTGAAGGAGCCGCTGGCTGTAAATCATGTGTTCAGACTGAGAGACTGAGCCCTCCGCAGCGCGTTGAATCCCCTCTTCCTGCTGACAAACGGCAGCTCTGAAGCAGGAAACAGGCTCCTATTGGACGACGGGGAGAAGGTGGAAGAGCCACAAAATGTGATGCCTCTCACACCGAGGAGACACGAGCAGGAAATGGGAAAGCTGTTCAAATGTGGCTCAGAAAAGGAAAAAAAGCAGCCAAAATATCCAGCGATCAAGAGATCTAAATGATAACTATCATCTTTCACAATACCAAAAAAACCTCTACACAGGTTCAGGGACCGACTTCCTATGTTGAAATGTTTGTATGTTGGTTAAAATATTCCCATCAGAATACACGGTAATTCCTATAATTGGTTCCAAAAACCTACGATAACTCCTTAGTAAATACTGTACATAATAACGCATAGCAATAAAATAAATCCATCATATAAGAGAGATGTAAAAAAAAAAGAATGAAAAAGAAATAATCAGTAAAAAGAGTTTTTTATTGATAACCTTATATCATTTATATATAAAAAATATGTTATATCAGTTATATATCAATTAATATATATATAGCTGTATTGTTATATTTATATAATCATATATTATTCATATTATTATTATTTATATTCTTATATCATATAGACTGAGATACAGGACGTACCCTAACTTACTCTGACTGTCACTACCTGAACTTTAAACCGACTTAGTTTATTTATTTTTATTTAATTTTTATATTTTTTTCCATGACTTTGATATCATACTAACTTAGCTTATTTATTCTTACTTAATTCTTATATTTTACATATTTTTTCTATGACTTCGACATACATTGTGAATTTACTTTGCGTGTGTTGAGTCGAATATTTGATCAAATTTCCCCTCGGATGTTGGAAAACCCGTGTGTTTTACATCGTGAGCTGAAGTTCTGCTGAATTAACACTGCAGAGTTTTTCTTGGTTGATTAATGAAATGTCATTGAAGTGAATGTAGACGTTGAGCCCCTGATGGGATGCATCCATCTGCCTCCTAATCCCACTTCTTTCCATCAGAGGCCATATTTCTGTGTTCCCTCCTCAGCGGAGCTCACCGTTTAATCACTGGGCGGGTCCAGATCAGGTCTGGTCTGGTTCAGGTCTGGTTCAGGTCTGGATCATGTCCTTAGGTCCAGATCAGGTCTGGTCTGGCCCAGGTCTGGTTCAGGTCCTCAGGTCAGGATTAGACCAGGTCAGGCTCAGGTCTGGTTCAGGTCCTCAGGTCAGGATTAGGTCAGGTCTGGCTCAGATCTGCTTCAGGTCTGGATCATATCCTCAGGTCCAGATCAGTCCAGGTCTAGCTCAGGTCCTCAGGTCACAGGATGCTGCGGGCTGCTGTGAGTCTGAGAGCTGCTGGAGTGCTGCTGCCGGTAATGAGGAGCGTGCTCTGCATCCTAAAGCCCCCGTTCAGGGCTTCAAGTCCGGGTGGGGACCCACATGAGTAGACACACCAGCAGGGCCTCCAGCTGAGCCTCAGACCGGATCCTTAAACCAGATCCTAAAACCAGATCCTAAAACCAGATCCACAGGCCAGATACCTAAACCGGATCCACAAACATGATCATTAAACCAGATCCCTAAACCAGAACCAGATCCTCAAACCAGATCCTTAAACCAGATCCCTAAACCAGATCCTTAAACCGTATCCACAAACATGATCATTAAAGCAGATCCTTAAACCAGAACCAGATCCTCAAACCAGATCCTCAAACCAGATCCTTAAACAAGATCCTTAAACCAGATCCCTAATCCAGATCCTTACACAAGATCTTCAGACCAAATCCTCAAACCAGATACTTAAACCAGATCCCTAAACCA